CAATGTGCAAACAGTAGACCAGCATATATTTAACAGATGTTAGTTGACATTAAATGAAGATATGTTCAGTTTATAGAAAAGATGCAGTTAGATAAACAGGAATTTGAGCTCGTCAAAATCTATGTAGCCTACTGACACACACACTTTGTGAGAAAAGGTATTATCAGAAAAACTGATAAAAACGCCTGTGGGATTGGACAATGGTTGTGCAGGGTCTAATCACCAGTTTATATAATGGTTCATATCTACCTCAACCAATTACATTTATATGCAAATAAAATTTTAACACCTAAATAATAATAATCCACTCTGCATTCAAGACTGAAAAGGAGCCATTCTGAATAACAAATACTTTTCGTTCTGATACTTTAGCTGTGTTTTGATGGTAATACTTTTGTACTTTTACTCAAATAGGATTTTGAATTGAGGAGTATATGTAAATGTTATTGTATTTCTACCTTTACTTACATGAAGGATCTAAAACAGGAAAATCAAAACATGAACACTGATCTAGCACATAAGTAATCTGTTCAATTGATATTGGTAAATTATGAGGAAAAAGTCATGGCACTGTTTTCCTGTTTTTTGCATAAATTGGTCATGAAATGTGATCTGCTCTTCACCAAAGTCACAAGCATCAACAAACACAATATTTCTAAGCTGATAAATCACAGACAGTCCTGATATTTCAGGTCTTTATTGAACACATCCATTAAACACACAAAGTGATGGTAGAAAAAGTAATGGCAACAGTGTTTTAATAACTGGTTGAACCACCTTTTGCAGCAATAACCTGTAGCAAACGTTTCCTGTAGCTGTGGATCAGACCTGCACAACGTCCAAGAGGAATTTTGGACCATTCTTCCTGACAGAGCTGCTTCAGCTGAGACAGATTCTTAGGACGTCTACTGTGAACGGCTCTCTTGAGGTCATTCCACAGCATCTCTATTGGGTTGAGGTCTGGGCTCTGACTGGGCCACTCCAAAAGGGGGATTTTATGCCTCTGAAACCATTGTGTAGTAGATTTACTTCGATGTTTAGGGTCATTGTCCTGCTGCATCACCCAGCTTGTACTGAGCTTCAGCTTGGTGACAGCCACCCTGACATTATCCTGTAGGATACCTTGATACACTTTGGAATTCATTTTCCCCTCGACAATGACAAGCGGTCCAGGTCCAGAGGCAGCAAAGCAGCCCCACATCATGACGCTCCCTCCACCGTCCTTCACTGTTGGGATCATGTTTTCTTGTTGGTATGCGGTTCCCTTTTTACGCCATACATAGCGCTGTGTGTTCTTCCCAAACAGTTCTACCTTGGTTTCATCTGTCCACAGGACGTTTTCCCAGTAGTGTTGTGGAGTGTCACGGTGGTCTTTGGCAAACTTCAGGCGTGCTGCAATGTTGTTTTTGGAGATCAGCGGCTTCCTCCGTGGTCTCCTGCCATGAAAACCATGCTTGTGCAGTATTTTCCGTATGGTTGACTCATGAACAGAGATGTTAACCTGCTCCAGTGAATCCTTCAAGTCTTTAGCTGTTACTCTAGGGTTCTTTTTTACCTCATTCAGCATTCTGCGTTGTGCCTTTGGAGTGATCTTTGCTGGGCGTCCACTTCTCTGGCGAGTAGCCACTGTACCAAATTGTCTCCATTTATAGACAATATGTCTAACTGTGGACTGATGAATGTCTAAAATCTTTGAGATGAATTTGTAACCTTTTCCGACTTCATGCAAACGAACAACTCTTGATCGTAGGTCTTCTGAGATCTCTTTTTTGCGAGGCATGGCTCACGTCAGCTGATGCTGCTTGGGAATAGCACACTGACACTGAATGTTTTTATCAGTCAAGGCGGTTCAAAACCACACCTCCATTACCACCTCATTGACTGGACTCCAGGTTTGCTAACACCTGACTCCAGTTTACATTTAGTGACACCAGAAGCTTGGTGATGCCTTTACCATAGCTTTGCATGTTTAATGGGTGTGTTCAATAAAGACATGAAAGATCATGACTGTGTGTTTTATCATCTTAGAAATATTATGTTTGCTGATATTTGTGACGTTTGGTAAAGATCAGATCACATTTCATGACCAATTTATGCAGAAAACCAGGAAATTCCCAACTGTTCTCTTGTGACTGTATGTACAGTATGTTAGGTGAGTTGGAAAGAATATTAGAAATTCCTTCTGATATATGGCATTCCAGTGATCCAGGCCCTAGGCTATTCAGGGGTGTTTATGCATACTAAAGTCCAGCAGAGGTAGTATAATACTGGATGTAGTCACAGGTCAATCAAAATTCATAATGTGTCACTTATGGATTTAAATCCTTTTTATTGTGTGGGTGTCAAAATTTGGAACAGCCTCTCATATAACTCAAGCTTCTGAACAGATGTAACAACTCTTTAGTGAAGGAATAACTACAGGAGAAGAGATGGGCCAAAATAGTTACTTTCTATATTGCCTCCAATAACTATGTATGCACGTCACAGTTTTGACTTAATCTATAATGTAGTAGAAGCACAGCATCCTGGGATATGATGTGAAACACCCACAGTTATGAAAATAACATTAACTTTGTCTTTGTAACCTGCGTCATGCTTCAATTTTAAGGACAAAACCTCCCTTTGTCACATTTTTACAGGTCCTTTATATTTGTATTTTGTAAATGGTTGGACAAGTGTGTTATGCATGTTGTCCATGACAGAATCAGATGAAATTGTCCAGTACAACACAAAATATATCCATTATATATCCAATATATCTACACAAACAACCAAAGTAGTCTCAACAAAAAGTGCATGGTTGTTGAAATGCAGCACAGGAAGGCATTTCTGCCAGTTTACGGTATACCTGCTACTACGCACCTTATCATGACAATTAGACTAAGCATTGTATCATGCCAAGTTAGTATAAAAAAGAATTTTCAAAAGCACATTGTATAGTTGACCTGAAATGGATAGTTGGCACGATGGAGGGCATGCCTCAGTTGTGGATGCAAATACGTCTTCGCTGAGAATGCAAACTCGCAAGGGATTAAAGGCTACTAGTGGATCACGACATTAGAATAAACAAAATTCTTAAGTCGTTTGAAGGTGAACTGATGTAAATGAGGGAATATAAGAACATTCAAGAAAATTCATACTAGCCTAAAAAATTAGCACAGAGCTAGGGTGCAAGCATTAGTTACACTGTTCAGCTCAAATCAGTTTAGTAATGATGTCTTCTGTTGAGTGACGACAGGAGAAATGTTGAAAAGGTCACCCTGATTTTATTTTTCAAAACCAGAACATTTAGGTGAAGGAAACAAAAACATTTACACTGTAAACAGGCCAAACTGGCTCAACATTACTTGAATTGTAAAGACAACTTGAAAGCAGTTTTGACGTTTGCATGCGCAAGGCACAACTTGGCAAATGCATATTGATAAGGAATGTACAGCAGGGGCCCACAAAGTACTCTGCCCATTCTGACTTGTGTAAAGTGTCCAGTGATACATTCATTACTGTTAAACTCAGCAGGTTGAGAATAAAAAATCCTATATGCTCCAGAATGTATCAGAAAAAGTACATAACATTGCATCGAGACTCAGGGGTATGAAGGACAACTAAAAGCTAAACGAGGTAGAACTTACCCCCTAAACTCAAGCACTGTGTGTATTATAAATAAATTAAAGATGCTACAAGTTGATAAGATCGTCTAGAAAAAAAAAGTGAAGTCTGACAGTTACTCTAAATGGTTGTTTCAAACTAAATCTGACTGGAAGGAAAAGTAGGCAGAATTGGTGATTTGCCCTTTTCCTATTTACCCATCAATGACCAAGCACTGAAACTGAAATGCAACTATAACAAATGTAACTAAAACCTGAAATAAAGTGCAGGCATGAGAACATTAAGCATTTAATAGCTTTCAGAGCTCGGCCAACTAAATTTGACTGCAGATATGTGGGACTTTGTAAACTGATGAAAACATGAAATACATGCATGACACACAGATGACAGACCAATTTATCAGTCCAACAGAACCTTCATAACCTAATGGTGCAGTACAAGACAGCAACAGTTCAGATTAGGCACTTGGCAAAAAGGTTTAATGACTGTATCCTGATGCCAGTGCAACAAAGATGAAACCCTATTTTAGTGTCTACATTTACACAAACTGATGACTGAGCTGTTGCACCTCGATGTAATAGACAAGACATTGGAATAATCCGTCTGCCTGCTCAAAGACATGCTAATAACATTTACGACTACAAAAATGTACAATGTCATAAAACCTATGGCACACAGTAGGAGGAAAAGTAGTCATTATAAACATATAGGGTTACCTACACCATTATTTGTGAACACTCAGACATGGTGTACTTAAAATTCAGGCTGCTAAACTTTTCCTCTTAATGTCAAAATCCTTCAAACGTATCAAGGACACAGTCTGAATTAAAGCAGTTTCAAGTAAATTATACATTCAAACCTTTGGATAGACAGCAAAACAAAAAAGGGAGGAAAGGCACAGTGGAAAAAGAAATACCCGCATATATATTTATACAAAATAAAATACAGCTACAGTAGTTATATCAAGGTCAACTAAAAGTAACACTTGAGAATCATTCAGAACATGAGAGCAGAAAGCTGCAATGAAGTTAGTGGAAAAGTTCTACCAATCTAAGCAGAATTCTACATCGTTTTCTCTGAATCTTGATTGTACCTCATTCAAAATGGAGACATTCAGAAACTGAGTTCAGGTGATAGACTGATGGCAAAAAATCCTAATTAACTGCAATTTTACCCTCCTCCATGAAATGTGGGAACTGGGATTTTGGCACGCTGTCAGAGCTGTTCTTCTCAATTTCGGCCATGGTGGCAGGCAAGCCAGAGTGGGACCCATCCATCTTCATGAGGCCTCCAGTGGATCCGATTAAAGGCCCGCTGGCAGGGCTTCCAGGGAGTGGGATGCCACCACCCTGGATGACAGAAATTTCATTGGTCTTCATGGTCAGGCCACCGCTGAATGCAGCAGCAGCATACTGGTTCCACAGAGATGGGTCAAAGTTTATTGGTGGAGTGCCCAGTTCTTTTTGGGGCTGCATAATTTCAGGAAGCATCTTCGCCTCAGAGCTCATTGCCATCATGGCCATGGGACCATCCAGAGACAGGCGCTGGCCCCGCCGAGATGAGGTGTTCCACATGTGAGTACCAATATGCACCTAAAACACAAGGTATACAATAAATTACAGTCCCATCACAACACTTGATGTTAATAGCTACATTATTGAAAAGTACACACTTAAATCAACTGAAAATGGCCTATTCCACACTTTGTCAGACAGCAATGACTAACCTTTAGATTTCCCTTGGTGGTGAAAGCCCTGCCACAGATGTTGCAGGCAAACGGCTTCTCCCCTGTGTGAGTGCGCTCATGGATCTGCAAGGCGCTGGCAGATGAGAAGTTCTTGCCACAAACATTGCACGTGTGCTGCTTGACTGATCGCCGTGGCGCAGTGGAGACGGAGGAGGACATGGCTGTTCCCTGAGGCATATGGGAGCTGAACAAACTATGAGGGCCCAAAGGATTCTCAGGAGGGATCTTCATCTCCAGACTAGTCAGACTTGATGGTATCCTCATGAAAGGCATGTTACTAGGAACTGTTGATACAAGAAATGGAAAGTTCAAGTCAAAAACATTTAACACAGCCTCTAAAATACATCTCATCAAATAAGCTCACCATAGTCTCCATTTGTGAACGGCATGCCAGGTTCTTTAATCACTTTGGGGGTGAAGCTGCTGGCAGCTGTGAGATCAAGGGCTCCACCTGACTCGACGCCATCTTGAGCGTCACCATCAGGCTCTTGTTTTGGCACACTGCGAGCAAATTCTTCAACGGCAATCTCGGGAGACTTGCTACTAATGTTGTTTATTGGGGACAATGAATGAAATGACATGGCTGAGTCTGAAATTGCGGGACTTCGCCCGTTCTGATATTCCTGCTCTCTCGGAGCAGATGGGGATTCTTTGGATGTTCCCTCGCTCTCTGAAGCGGTGCTACTCTGTCGTTTCAATGCAAGAGCAGAGGTGAGATTCTTCAAAACATCTAGGCTGGAAAACATAGCAGGGGCGGCCTGCTTCTGTGCTTGTTCCTCAGAAGCAGATGGGAGGGAATCTGAGGCGTTGTTTGGCCTCTGGGAGTTCAGTGCTGGCTCATGATCATCCATGCTTGCTTCAAAACCACCAGCATCCATAGGCTTTTCCACTGGCAGAGATGGCTCTGTTGCTTCTGCTGCTTCAAACTGGTTTTCTGGCATTGGGGTGTTGGGGATCTGCCCACCCATGTGCATGCGGATGTGTTGCTGCAGAACCACAGCATTGGTGAACTTCTTCTGGCAGATGGGACAAGAGTGCTGCATTTTCAGAGCTGTATTAGCCCTGTGCACTCCGTAGTGTGCTTTGAGGTTGCCCTTGGTGGAGAATGCACGGCCACAGATTTTGCACTTGTAGGGCCTCTCACCGGTGTGTGTGCGGTAATGCATCTTGAGTGAGCTCTGGCAACTGAGCACCCTGTGACAGATTATGCACTCATTGGGGTCATTGGTCCTCTTCTCCAGGCCATCCACCATTTGCTGAAGTTTTGCTGTTCCAGAGCTTTGTTCTCCTGGGATGGTGCTACCATTCATATGATGCAGCGCTCCAAGGAGTTCCTTAGCATCCTTCTGGTTCAGATCCAGTCCCGACTCTTGGCCAAACACATTAGAGGAAACAGCTGGGGAACCATCACTTGTAGATGGAGAGGGTCTCTGGGAAAACGGGTCCCCTCCAAATCCATCAAATGTTGTCTTGAATCCCGATATGGACGGCGGGTGGAACCCAGCAGCAGGATGACTTAAAATGGGCTTAATTTCGGTCATGTTTGACTCATCCACTGGCACAGACATGCCAAAGGGAATTCCACTACTGGTGGGAATATTGTCAAGGTGCTCTGGCACAGGATGAGGGTTCATGCTGATGTTTGGATACTTGTCTTTATGCCGCTGGAAATGCACTTTGAGGTTTCCTTTGGTTGTGAAGCGGTTTCCACAGATGTTGCACTTGAAGGGCCTCTCGCCTGTGTGAGAACGCAAATGAATCTGCAGAGCACTGTCATTGCCAAAGGTCTTTCCGCAGTACTTACACTTGTGTTTGTATAAGGAGTCAGCATTTTTTGATTCTGGTGGGAGGTTCAGCATCTTCGCCTTCACTTTTTTTGAAGACTCAATCCCTGCTTGGATACCGTTGAAGGTGCTGGGGAAACCCATCACACTTGGCGACTGAGGCAGCAGTGCTGGTAAACGACTGGCCAGATCTGGAATGCCCTTCAAAATGTCAGTTTTGGAAGTCACTGAACCCAGTCCCCCAGGCAGAGAGGTAGGGATGCCAGTGGCCAGAGGTAGTTTACCTTGCTTCATTGTTTCCATGGAGAGGCTCTGACTGCCAGTCCTTTTACCTATCATAGCTGCAGCGGCAGACAGCTGTTGAGAAAGATGCGCACCAAGGGCTTTCAGAGGGTCCACCGCTGCCCCTACTGACGACTGGAGACCCTGTGGAGTCATCATGGCTACTTGGATTCTGATCTGTTCTGTGAGCTGGATTTGCTGTAGTTGCTGTTGCTGGAGACACACCAACTGTTCCAAGATCATTGGGATGGCCTGCAGAGCATCCTGTGAAGAGGTCAGTGATGTACTCTTGGAAGAATGCTGGGAGACAGCCACTTTGGTGTCAGCCATGGTCTCAAGAGTGACATTTGAATCTTGCATTTTGGGTGAGGGAAGGAAAGCCATCTCAGGGCTAGCTTCCATCTCTGCCTGATCCTGCTGTGCAGACTCCTCTGCATTTATACTGGACTCTTCCTCTGTTCTTTCCAGATGTTCTGCATTAACATTTGATAGGGAATGATTGCTGGACTGGCCATCATCATGGTCACTGGTAAGACCTTCAGGAGAACCTTGTGAGTATTCCTCAGGAACCTCATTCCCATCTCCATCCTTCATGATGACCACTTGCTGACTTTTAGTACAGCTTTTCTCATGCTCAAGAAATTCAGCTTCATCAAAAAACTCTGCACAACACTTGTAGCAGACCCTGGTTTCGTCCATTCTGAATCTCTTTGGTTTTTCAGTCTCCTCAGCTTGATCGGCTCGAAGAATCCCTAAAACAAGAGGATACGCAACATAAATTAAGGCTTTTCACACACTTGTATTTGTATTGACTGATAAAATCTATACTGAGTAATATACAAATACAGTAATGTGTCAGTGCTATTGAGTTAATAAATATACACTCACTGGCCACTTTATTAGGTACACCTGTATAACTGTATGCACTTCAGTGTAACACTTCCACCTTAACATCTGTTTATGAAGCTCAACATGTTTCAGTTTTTGGTGAAACTGTCAAAGTATAAATTCAATTATAAGTTTATTATTGAGCTTGTAGTTATAAAGGTGGTGTTGTACTGGACTGCAACATATTCAGAGGTGTCTCTATATTTTTGTCCTCCCCAGCTACATACATGAGGGGGTCAGAATATTAGGAACACTTAACACAAGTGCTGCATTGAAGTGCATCCAATTGTACAGGTGTACCTAATAAAGTGGCCACTGAGTGTATAACAAGATCCCTTTGCACTCAGTATCCAGAGCAGCCCTGAAAAATATTTTGCATAGTTACATTAGTTGTAAAAGTGACATGGCATTTGTCTGTGGTCATTTCTGAAGCTTTGCTGTTTTGACAGTGTTATTATAATCCTGTAAGATGTCCCTGCTGCTTCACGGACTCCCTCTAGGTCAGTGCACTCTGCAGCTGCCTATTGTCCACAGGGCCAGCAGAGGGCAATCATCTACCTTTGACATGACCCAGAACAACGTCCAGAAAGACAAAGAATTACTGGGCATTAAATTACTGTGTTTGTCAAAGCCAGCCAAGCACTTACTAAAAATCTGATCTGCTTCCTGCACCACATGTGGGGTAATATTAGTGACCAGTCCAAAACTAAAATCCAGTAACAGGGGAATCTTTGTTCCACACTAAGCAATGAATACCTAAACTTGTAAACTGAATTTGATATTCCAGTTGACGTAAAGTTGAACAAACAAGAAAATACAAGATGTTTACTATGCAAACAAAGGCTTAAAAAGAAAAAAAGTACAGGGGTAGTCCAATGCTGATTACCATCAAGTATCCTCACAGCCTGTGAAAGCCCGATACATGTTCCAAGTGTGAATTTTGTCTGCCAACCAAGAGGTCATTTCACAACTAGGTGTATTGTTAAATGCTAATGGTTCACAGAAAGGGGGTAGACCACCTGTCTGCATTTGCCCAAGGAAACTGTTGGACTTGTTAACTCCTCACCAGGAGGCACTGAAGCTGTGTCACTAAAAGAAAAGAAAGTTGCATTACATTCTGGTCCATGACAAAACAGTAACCATGGTTCAGCCGCCCACATTTGCGCAATAAAGCCAGCATTACAGCCACTCCTTATCTTGACAGAGAAGTACACACAACGTGTAATTCAAGAATATTTACTATGTCATTTTTCCAGCATTCAAATGAAATCACAACTCGTCCATTAGGAGCCAAATGTGAGGCAGCGCTCCAGATTACCACTTGACGGCGCATGGCCTTTAGTGAGGATGGCTACGTGACACGAGGGCACGAAACATTTGATGTGTGCGCAGTAGTGTGGCACATACAAACGTCATATTGTTTTTTTATTCTACAACATTATTCTAAATGGCAGAAGCAAACTAAAAGACAGCGCGGGTCTCAAAAGCCCGTCGTATCCAGGTTGGCTAATTAGAAGGTGAGGTCTACAGGGCAGCGCATATGGCAACACCGAAACGCACCCCCACCCAGTCTCCACAAAAGGGTCACTGCTCCATCCCCCCACCTCTCCACGTATGTACGAAAGGAAACAGTCATGCATTAAACGGGGGGATTTATTGCCTTTAGGTCAGCTTACACAAGAGGCACATTTCATACAGTTTTGTTTAAAACTTCAACTTTGGGGCAAACAAATGGCACAAAGTTTGTACTAGGCTGTTAAGATCTACGGGCTGCTGCATTAAGATACCGAAAAATAGAAAAACGGATCCTTCAAAGTACAACACAAACAGTAGCAGCTGCAACAGTCCCATTCTGAATTTAGTCCAAAGAACAAAAGTGTCGTTTCATGATAAACGCGGTTAACGTCATGTGAATGAAACGGGCTAGAGAAGGAATGATGCAGCCAAGTCACCACCAAACCTCTCAGGTACGAGGTATCAGAAACTAAAAGAACAGTCACCAGACACCTCGGTGAATCCCAAAAGATCCTAATTCATTTACAGTCTTCAACTACACAACTAGTCCAAATATCTACAGTGGGTCGGTTTAGGACGCAGCAGGTCAATTAACATTCAGAGCACATAAAACGTTACAACCGAGGGATCAAACTGGGACAAAAAGCCAAAGCACACGGTGTTTTAAACGGACTCTGGCAGCACCTGTACTGTTTAAAAGTCCTTTCTGAGCGGCTGGCTCCCCGGTACCGCGGCCAACTTTGTGCTCCTGGCCAGTTCAAAGGGACTGCAACAGGTCAAAGTGCGACAGGAACTCTGCAAAAGTCGGCTCGAAAATGTCGATAAACCGAAACACGGCTACACCAACCTTCTGGGAAACTAACTCTCTCGGATGTTTGTGTAAACTTACCATTTTCTAACGAGCCCGGCTCGTCGGAGTTGATGTGCTGCGGTTTGGCTTGTTTGCGCCTCGACATGGTGCAACCATCAGGAGCAAAGAGTTACAAACAATTTTCCTCCCCTTCTTCAACAAATTCTTTGGGCTGGAAAATTAGCCCCTCAAGTAGAAATGCGCATGTCAACGTAATTATTATTATCAATAATGCATTGCGATTTATCACGGTCCTCTGACAGCTGATTGGCTCCAGTCCAAGTGCTCACACATTATTCAAATGCGCTCCCCACTGATGAGCGGAGTGCCAGGAGGGGGCGGGTACTCTGTGCACTGGAGGATGGAGGCAGGGTTAGGAACTCCCCAACTCATCGCTCTTTTCCTTGTTCATGAGGAAAAAAAAGTCGTCACCGGAGACACGACGAGTAAAAGATGAGTCAAATAATGCTCGTATGCTGCGCACAACCTGCGGCGTCTTTACCTTTGGACTCCAAAAACAGCGGAATGTTCTTTAAAGAGCAGCTTTGCGGCACTTCCTTATCTCCTATTGGGTCCCTATCAAATTCATACACACGTCTCGTATGTGAATCGTATTTTAACAACAGGGACGCGCTGGGAAGGCCTGTGCGTGATGCCCATCACTTTCCAGGAAACATATTTTAGTTATGTCATGTCCCAGAAGGCAAACGTGGAGCATGTATGTTAGGGACAAGCACGTTATGGTCATCTAATCACAAATCTATACGCGTGTCTTTCCAACAAACATCACGGGGTCGCTGTTTGTTAGGAGCCACAGTATAAACGTCCATCTAAAGGAGTGTTGTCTCAGGAACGTACAGTAACGGGGGGTACGTGCACGTAACTGTGTGCACGTGTTCTTATACCCACAGCAGTACTTATGATATAGTTTTACAAGTGGGTTTCAGGCAAATACCAAACATGAAGTGCATATGACAGAAGGTTTGTTTTAAGGGTTAGAGACCAGAACATACATGATGGAGGTTGTTAGGACTAGGGGAGGTTGTAGTTCCTCCACTTTTAATTTACTGTAGCAAATTATTTGTTTCTGTTCCAGAATAGTGATCAACTAGTGTGGATGTTCAGGCCAGTGCAGACATTAATAATAAACAGTTATATCAGTGGTGACCTTTGGTGCAGCCAGCTTCATTCAGTAATGTTCATTCTTCTAGATGATTCTGTTATGAGCCATTATGAGTTTGCAGAATTAGAAGCTGTATTGGCCAAGAAGGAGTCGACACACAAGGCACCTGACTGGTACAGAGGCTGTCAATGCACTTTGTAAGACAACAGTTAAAACTAGAATAAAATAAAATGATTTACCAGTTTGCAGTGATGTGTTGTTTATTTTTGAAGCTGAATTAGTACTAGTACATCATTAGTACTGCGATTCCTACATGTGGTAGTGGTCTGAGCACTAACGGTCCAGGATATACCTTTATGTCAGACAGTAAGACAGATGTTACTCCAGATGTTTCAGTGCTAACACCAACTCAGTAGGAGACGAAAGGGTTGTCAGGAGCTGTGTTGGATTGAAGACGATGCTGGAATGATATTGTTAGCTCTGCTTCGTATTAATATTCACCCTGCAGGCATAACTGTACCAAAACATTCCAGGAAGTTCACCACACGTCACTGAAGAGAATTTACACAAGGGGAAAACCTTTATTAGAGCAGTACACAGTGATCACCTCCTGCATGTTTACAGTGAGCTCAGTAACCAAAAACTGTGGTTTAGACAGGTGCAGGAGAACGGCTCAGTGGGCCACTCAATAACCCAACATTATATCTCCCGACATCGGTAAAATCACACGCTGATATAAAGCTGCAGACCCTGACCTGTTCACTGAGGCTCGGCTCTGGACATTTGTGACTTTGACATTTCCCCCACATGAAAATATATTAGTAGTTATGCAGGACATATAAGCTGTAATACTGAGATGAGCATATTATGATAAGTGTGATACATTCATTGTAACAGTAGAAGGAACTGGAAACACATTTTAAAGGATTCATTGAAACAGTGTGAACACTGAAGACTAGTAATCGATTTGTTTATGGACCAAAGGCTGATCATTTAGTTTAGCAATCGTTTTACTGCTTGTTCAGTGGTGGAAAGTGACTAAGTACATTTTCTTGGTATCTGTACTTTTATAAGAAAATATTGTACTTTTTACTCCATACATTTATTTTATAACTTTAGTTACTAGTTACTTTTTAGAACCAGATTAATACAAAAATAACAGTATAATCATAGGACTTTATTGATCTTTGGTGGAAAGGTCAAACGGTACCAGGTATCAAGTAAACATATTAATATTAGCCTGTTTTAGTTTATCAGATGTGAGAATTGGATCGTTTTCTCTGTGTTCACTGCCATTTAAAATGGAAGAGATGTTAGTTTTCGCTGTCGGATGAAGAGACCGAGCAAATAAAACTTATCAGTTTTGACTCTGACAATTTAACCTAAATATTTTATCTTTCTTTTTTTGACATTGTACACATTTTAATGTGCCTACAACGTGTAAATTCATTAGCTGAAACTAATAATTGTCACTGAAAAAGTTTTTCTCCAGAGCTATAGACAAACAGCAACGTGCACAGTTGAAGTAAAGCTACACCGTAGAGGACCATGTTCTTTTTACCAGGCTAACATGCCTCAGCATGTGTTATATAACGACACAGCTGATGAGTGCGAGACAAAGACAAACCAATATATTCAGATAAACAAATGTTCTTTAAAGGCCCGGCTGAAGGTGAAAAAGGGGGGAGTGCTGTCTAGACAGTTTATTGCCCCCATAAGAAACTATGCTTGAATAAGCTGTTTCTTCTTCTTCAATCTAAACAACTCGAACTGCGTGCAGTCGTAAAAGGGCAGTTGTGAGAACCGGAGGGGTATCAGTTATATGGCCTATCTCTTTTGCAAATGATAAAATAGCTCTCATATAGTAGAGCTGAAATAGCATAGAAACATGGCACCAAAAGATGGAATCAAAGCAGTTTTCACCTTGACACACATAATCTGTGGAGACAATGTCAAAGGCCGTCCTGTTGCTCTGTGGCTGTTCTGTAAAAAGCAGCACGTCACACAGACGGACGGATCCTTGGCTTTTCTTTGTTTATTGTCAGCTGCTCGGGTCCACTGCGATCATTCTGTGCTGGTCACTGTCAGTTATGTCATTTTTGAGAAAAGAGAAGCAACTGTTATAGCAGCATGTTGCTGTGAGGGCACAAAGCAAGTACAATGCAATGACCTTGACCAGGTCATGTATCTGACAATAGTGAATCTACACTGGTCACATGAAACAGTTTGGAAACAGCCTGTTCACCCAGTGTTTTCTATATCCTGACCTTTTTCTCCTTATGCAAAGGAGAGATGCTCAGCTGATGTGTCATTTGCCGAGCTTTACGATGACCCTGCTGTGGAACGCTCGCTGAGGAATTGTGAATTGAACATGTGTTTTTTAGGACTCAGTAAAAGATGAAAGGCACAGACCAACCTGGGAAGGACGAGCTCTTTCACGTCAGTGTGAGAGTTTATGAAGCGTCTGCTTTACTCATCCTTGATGACAACACAGTCAAATAGTTAGATCTGACTAGACATTTTAAAATCCTGAGCAAAACCAAACTGTCTTAAATGACCTGTCCACTTAAAAATGTGTATCGTTGTTACTTCATTTAGGATGTTTGACCTTCACTCTGCAAAAGCCTGTATTTCTGTTTTGTTTCCACAAGTATCAGCAGAAGAAGAGCAACTGTGTTTATGAATTTGGTGACATGACAAGCAACTTGGAAGCCAGTCATGGTCCAAAGCACAATTTACACAACTGTGGTGTGGAAACCTGAAACCTGCACATACTGAATATGGACTTGTGTGTCTGTGTCCAGCAGTAATATTTGCATACTGGATTTTTCAGTTACAGAGAAGGTGCATTCAACCAGCTGATCTCAGTTTTATAGAAAAAAAGCACACATCACACATAAACTATTATTAAAAGCAGAGTATTTTCATATGTCCACAGACGTTTCTGAAACAGTTTTGAAACCTGAACACAGCAAACACTTGGATTCAGATAGTTTACGATAAACGATTTGCACAAAATGTACCAAGAAACGTTGTGACCCGTCATAACGCTTCAGCATTTCTGATGACATTTCAGCGTATCGAATCACACACCTGAAAAGTGTTACATCGCAAATAATTAACTACCTACTGGAGAAGCACAGTACAAAGTAACACGTTTCTATGCAAGGACATGAAAACACAGCCAGCTCATTTCTCCCCACTCCAGATGCCTCCCCTCAGCAGCGGGACACCAGCTAGAGTCTTTAATGGTTGACTGGTTTCTTGCTCACTGACATCAGGATTTCTTCTGACTGTATTTCCTAGATCCTGTTTTATTACGTGATCCTCTGTTGATTTTGTTCTGGTGCCCCTTAAAACATTTCCTCCCTTGTAGTCATAAATAACATCATTACAATGACATGAAGGACAAACGGAAAAGTTTTTGTTTCATGCAAGACTTAATCCCCATGGAAAGGGTAAGTAATGCCGAGGACGGGCGGGCACAAATGAAAACAGTGCAGGTGACCTTTTGTTGTTACTTGGACTACCTAGGTCTTGTATTTTTTTCCGTTCATATTAGTCATAACACAACCTAAACTTTGCTTGTAGGCAATCAATGCACCTTTTTCTACAAGATCACTGTTGTGAGAATATACAGTAATTTTCCAGCCCACCCTTTGTTTTCTGCCATTGCACAATCACCTAAACACGGCATTATCTAGCAAATACAAGCACAAACGCTCATGGCAATTGCTATAGTGTCAGACAGTTTTCATTATTGATCAGCAAACAGCCTTTCCACGGTGCTCCTATTCATGAACATGTATTTAGTTCTTTTGTTTGGTAACATCAGCCTAGAACAGAGACTGAGGTGACAGATATTGGGTGTTTGTCTCCTGTTCCAATAAGGGTTTTTAATTCCACTGAATGTTGCTCTTTTTCAAATCCACTGTCCATATGCACCACCCTGCATGACACGTGCGCCTGCTGGTCAGTTGGCTGCGTAGTGCACATGCAGAGATGCAGACCCAGCAAAAATACACTAGAGTTTTCTGTAATAACTCAAAAAATGCAGAATCATACTTATTTCGATGTGATACCTACATTCACTGGCCACTTTATTAGGGACACCTGTACAACTTTCACCACATCTGTGTTGAGTTTTTAGTGAAACTGTCATAAATGTATAAATTTAT